CGGTTCTGGCTTCTGCGGCTCCTCAGTTCGTGTAATGCACAGAAAAATGCACTACAGGCGCTGCAATGCTTCTGGCAGTACAGGTAATCCTTCAAAAGCTGGTCACTGACTTAATGGCAGGACCTGCTTRGATCACATCTCAGAACCATAGAATTGTTCGGATTGGAAAGGGATTTGGCAGGATTAGCCATGCTGTTTTAAAAAGTTCTGCTTCTGAAATACTTCTTCTCTGTTCAAACAGCATGTTTGCTAGATCAGCCTTGTAGCTACCAGGTAGTTACAGAATCACAATCAACAGAATTGTTCGGGTTGGAAGGGACTCTGGAGATCATCCAGTCCAACCCTTCAGCCAAGGCATGGTCACCTCACCAGGTGGCTCAGGAGCACATCCAGGTGAGTTTGGAATGTCTCCAGAGAGGRAGACTCCCCAACTTCTGTTGCAGATACGCCTCCTGGGGAGCAGATGTGACCCCCAACTGCAGCAGGGCCACTGCAAAGGGTTGGACGTGGCTTATGGTTGGAGTTTATAATCTTAGASGTGTTTTCCAGCCTTCATGATTCTGTGATTCTCTTCTAAGCAAGCAGTGGACCTTGTGGTGAGCTGGAGAGCTATGGAGGTAATAGATAACACCCGGACATACTGTCACTGTACCATAGGGACCAGCCCCCAGCCAGGTGCAGGTAGCTGAGGATGGTGATGGCTCAATACATTTCAGTCAGTTTTATTATATTCTCAGGGTGCTGGGCTCTCTCACACAACATGGCCTGTCAGCACCCAGCAACAGCCAACACCAGTACACTGCGCAGAACCTCGTGTCAGTGATGCTTCACTTCTTGCCCAGTAACAGTAGGGAAAATAGAGTTTCTTTGTGACAATAAACACGAAGATGAGCAACAGTTTAGGTTAGGAGGAATCTCTTTGCTCTGAGAGTGCTGAGGCCCTGGCACAGGTTGCCCAGAGAAGCTGTGACTTCCCCAAACATGAAAAGTATTCAAGGCCAGGTTGGATGGGGCTTGGAGCAGCCTGGGATAGTAAAAGGTGTCCCTGCCCACGGCAGAGGGGTAGAACGAAACGGACTTTAAGGTCCCTCCCAACCCAAACCATCCCTGTTATTCTGTGACAGTCGCATGTGCCTCAGGCAGAGCACCCACAACCCCGAGTAGACAAAATGGCGGCGGCACCGTGAGGCGCCACGGGACAGCCCCGGGGGGGCGACCGCGAGCGCGTCACGTGGGCACCCCCCCCCACCCTGCTGCCGCGGTGCATTCTGGGAGCGCGGAGGCGGCAGCGGCGCCTGAGGGAGCTCGGCCGCCATTTTGTGCCTCTCTCTCGGTCCGGGGTGGCCGCGCGGGCGCTGCGGCTCTGAGGGAGCGCTCGGCTCTCCTGCTCTGTAGGTTGGGGTGCCGCCGCCATGGGCCGTAAGAAGAAGAAGCAGCTGAAGCCTTGGTGCTGGTATCCTTCTCTGTGGGACGCGGCGGGTGCGGAGAGCTGGGTGGGGGAGGGGAACGGCCTGGCGCGGTCGGGGCTCGGCCCCGGGTCGGTTCCGTTCCGTTTCGTACCGAGATGGGGCCCAGCCCTTCTCCCCACGCCCGTTACGGTTTGTCTCGGTGCTTGACCTTGTTCCATCCCTGTGTTTATTGGGATGCGGCCCGGTCGGTACCCTTCCTGTGCTCCCCACCCCCCTGCGCGGCCTCAGGCCCGCTCCCGCCGCCCTCGCCGAGGCCGCGGCCTCCCGCCCGATCCCTAAAGCCGGGACAGTGGGAATCGGAGAATGGTCTTTATCCCTCATGAGATAGGATATTAAAGGGCGAAAATCTTGCTATTAATAAATACAGTTAGTCGCGGAGRGCGTTGGATGTGGTTATAAGAGAATTTTTAAAAACTTTTTTTTGTTCTTTGTGAGGGAAGGAGCTTTCAATTTAATTGCATCATGATCAGGTTTAATTTTTCAGTATCCAGAAATACTGGTGGATTTTCATTTGATCGCTCTTTCAGAATGTGCTCACTGATTGGAGTAATTACAAATTCACCGTTTTTCTCTCCCTAATGCTTCTCTCCTCTAGAATTGTTTAATAAAGGAATTCATAAGGTGCTCTGAGGTATTTTTTGTGTTGGAAGGGATCTGTGCTTGTTTTAGGTGTTAATACAGTTCACATTTTGGTGGAAGCAAGGGACACATAGTGTTAGCAATGTTAACATTGTGTTAATAATAAATGGCAAATGTGTATTTGTCTCGACTAGGAAGATTCATGTGGAGTGTTTGCTGTAATATTAATGCTGGTCCACAGAAAGGAAATTCGTTTTGCCTCTTCTGTTACATAGATGTCCGAACAATTCTTTGCTTAAAATATTTCTTTGTAAAAGCAGAAAATTCATAAATGACTGCAGCAATGCCATGTGGTAAGAATTGATGGCTGGATAACTAAAAGATGAAGGAAATATTTAACTAAAACCTTTGTTCTCTTTTATGATTGTTAGTTACTGGTAATTTATTAAATAGGCACTTCTGAGTCATTTGCATAACTTTKCTCTTGCTGATTTCAAGTCTGTTTCCTCTTTAATGCTTTAGCAATGTTCCCACCCTGGAAGAGAAAAAATGGGTAGCACTTGAAAAGCATGAGTCAAACTATGGAATCAAATGATGATTCTGATTGCATGCAGACACCTTTCCAGTTTTGTACCTCTGTAAAGAGGTACGTGCTGGGTCATATGAGGGTGCTTGGTTTTAGATATCCATGAAATAAATATTTGTCACACCTTGAATACTCAGATATGCGTCCTGTGCCTTTCYTTTGCTTTAGGAAAGAACCCACTGGTGCTAATTAACCTTAGTTTTATCTAGAAGGTAACTTCCTGGATTGAATGTTTCCTTAACAGACTTTAATAGGTATTGTAATAGGGATTTTGATGATGAAAAAATCCTTATACAGCATCAAAAAGCAAAGCACTTTAAATGCCATATATGTCATAAGAAACTGTATACAGGACCTGGTTTAGCTATACACTGCATGCAGGTAAGGAATTTTAGGTTTACATGAGCTTTTGTTTACAGTATCTAAAATTTAAATGAATAGTGACYTTAAAAAGGTGGGGGGTTGGGGCCTTCCAGAGTCTTTAAAACTGAYGAGAAAAGGACAGCAATGACCTGTTTGCAGCGCAGGAGTCCTGCTGTGTCAGCAGTCAGATGGCCACTGTGCAGCAGAGATCTTTGCTGGGAGTTTTGTAGGAGGAGTGAAGGAATTGAGCTGTCTTGGTTTTTGTTAGGCAAGTTTATGTAAGCTGGTTGTAGGGGTAATAGCAGTTACCGGAGATTAGGAAGCACAGATCAAGAAAATGCTTGACCAGAGAGATTATTCCCATTAAGGATGTTTGTTTTCAGTCTTGACACTGCCTGAAAAACACAGAAATTACCTTGAATTAGGCTCAGCAGGATTTGTTTGGTTTTTTTTTTTTTTTTTCCTTTAGGTACATAAAGAAACAATAGACGCTGTTCCAAATGCTATTCCTGGAAGAACAGACATTGAACTGGAAATCTATGGGATGGAGGGCATTCCAGAAAAAGATATGGAGGAACGGAGGAGGTTACTTGAACAAAAAACTCAGGGTAAAGGTGTAATGTGGTTCATTGTTTGTGATTTCCCTGGTGTGTTCCATACTCAGTTGTTGGACTGAGGGAGGGTGGGATTTAATGCGTTCTCTGACGGCAGCTCCAGGCGTGTGGGAGGCTGGGAGAGATTTTTCCTTTCCTGTTCAGAAGTAGCTGCATGCCAAAGCAACTACAACAATTAGCTAGTGGATATGGGCATGGTGATCTATTTGTGAGGGTAAGGGGAGGAAGGGTCTGAGATCAAACTATCCTGATGATTCCCAAATGCTTTGGTTTCTTTGCCGTTCAAGTATACCTTTGGTTGAAATGCTTTGGTTTATGSTGAACAGTGTGACATTGACACGAGGGCAGATGCCTCTSTATGTTGAGGGTCATGGCTGTGAGTCATATTCCTTCCCTTTATTTGTGGCTTTACGTAGGTTCACGCAGCATTCCTTCTTTGTAATTCTGAGAATTTGTGAGCACKGAAAAGATTTGAATTTTGCTATTGCTGTTCCACAGAGAGAACCCCAGATAAAGTTAATTTTATAGAATATAATCTGTGTTCAGTTTGATGATATACCTTGTACTGTCTGCAGAGAGCCAGAAAAAGAAACAACAGGATGATTCTGATGAGTATGAAGATGACGAATCTGCAGCTTCAACTTCATTTCAACCCCAGCAAGTTCAGCCACAGCAGGGGTACATTCCCCCAATGGCACAGCCAGGTTTGCCTCCTGTGCCAGGTGCACCAGGGATGCCTCCAGGTGAGAGGGCCTGTTAGGTGGTTACTGGAAAGCTGAATAGAAACAAATTCATGCTTCTGTGCAGACTGTTAATCTTCCCTTGTAACACTGGGGTCACGGAATCTGGGAGGTGCAGATAAGCAGTTGCTTCATTTTCTTCCCATTTTTCTGCATGAGCATGTCTTGGTGGACTAGATTGAGATACCTAATGCCAGCATGTGGATTGAAGGCATGTGGTAGTAAGATGAGTGCTTCAATCAGAAATCTACCAGTGATACTTGTGGTACTTAGTAACAGGATTTTGGAAACGGTGCAGAAAGTCTGCTGTGTATCTGTGTATCTAGCGCAGTCTTTTAGAGTTTCCTCTAATRCATTTATCCAGTGTAAATTTATTAGATTACATTTATTAGCAATTGTATGTTGTYAGAGTTGTTGAAAATTTGTTTTTCTTTTAAGGTATACCACCATTAATGGCAGGTGTTCCACCTATGATGCCTGGAATGCCTCCAGTTATGCCTGGAATGCCACCTGGGTGAGTAACAAGAAAGACTTATTACAWGTTCACACTGTGCATTTTAAGCTCACAGGAAAAGTAAAACTAATTAAATCTACGTAGGGAATTGTGACCTCTGTAACCTAAAGGTTAAGATTTATCAGAGGACTGGATGGCTGTAAACCAACATGTAAAATATGGCCAAACTGGGTTTACGTGTAAAGTATGTTGTCTTTGTCCTTACTTAATAATKATTAAATAGTTGTGTATTTATATAAAGTTTTGTTGTGTTGGTTTAGAGCCTTCTGTGAGCCACTGTTCCCTTGTGTGGTGCACACATGTTGTGCATCTGGTTATCAGTCATCAACCTAACAGGAMAAAAGTATGGGATAGTTTATATTTTTCTTGTATATTGGGCAAAAGATGTTGGCTTTTTATGCTTGCTTGGGGTTGACACCATACCCTATCACAATGTGTTTGGAAGTTCACAGTTAGATTTTTGATTTTGTCATAAATTTTCACAGATTGCATCAACAGAGAAAATACATGCAGTCATTTTGTGGTGGAAACATGTAAGCATCTCATTAATGTAATTCTAGGTACATTCATTATGCCATTTTATGTCATGTTTTTGATAAGCTGGAAATTGTGTTACTGGAAACGTTTGAATATTGCCTAAGAATTTGGGGAAGGTGTCTAGTTAGATTTTGCCATTGTATGATATGTAAAGTTCTTACACTTTTAACTGAATGAATTTTTACAAAACTTTATGTAAAATACATTCTACAAAATTGTAATCYGACAAACTCTTAGGGTCTTAAGGCTGTACTTGAACCAGAGCTTGAACAGCTCCRCATGCTTGATCCTTTACACTGCAGGACGTACTGCAGGAACTCATTTTCTAAATTTTAGAGTTCACTGAGGTGAAAGGTTGTTCTCTTCTGAGACATAAATTTTGAYTTAACAGTCTTTGAATTTAAAAATCATAATAATCAAACATGGTGTGAATGCTCATCAGGAGCATTTAGCTTTTCTAGGCGGAAAACAAACAGAATTTAATCAGGTTGTCTGGCACTTAGTCCTCATTCAATTGCTTGTTGACATCAGGTGAATGTTACATCACCTGTAAAAACACAAATGAATTTGCCAAAATGTCACTGCATTTCCATTTGGGAGGAGAGGCTGGGGTTGCATTACGGTTTTGTCTACTTTATTGTAAAATTTTATTTACTTAACCTGATTAACTTTTGTTTAAAAATGAGTAAAGAACTAGAAGATAGGAAGCAACTTTGGTTTTAGTGTGGCACCAATTCTAGCACTATCTTCAATTTCTAAGGAAGGGGCAGCAGGCAGTGAGCATCCCATACTTGTTTTGATGTCTGCTGGGTGGCAAGACTGGCTTTGTCTTCTCCAACCACCAGCCCAAAAAAAGAGGTGATGGTGCTGTGTTCTCAGTCATTGCTGCTTCTCCACTGATTGTTCCCTATGTAGCAGTGGTAGACAAGTTAAAAGCTGAAATCAGACTTTGCAGAATGAATGCTCACCTGTTCATGGTGGTTTGATTTGGTCTGAAAGCAGCAGTGGTGAAGGTGTCTTGACTGTCATACAAACAGAAACTGCWTCTTAGTGGGGTTTTGGTTTGTACTTGAGTTCTGCAGATCTGCTTATCTTGCTTACTAAAATAATAAGCATTCCTTTATTTTGTTTCCCTAATCCGTTTTTTAATGTCTGCAAAAAATGAAGCAATCTTAAGCTACATATGATTGTTCCCTGTAAAGGATGCATACATAATCATTTAAGGGAAAAAAAACCCCATTTTTAATAAGGAGAGCAAATGTGTTATAATGAGGACTTTTCACATTAAGAAACCAAAATCCCACTGTGTCATTAGTGTATGGAGGGTTTACTGTAATTGAAACTCCAGAAGCTTTCTTGCCCTTCGGTCTCTGCTCTGCTTTTGTCTATATTTTTTTGGTCATTCTACAGCTTGGAGTTATCTGTCAGTCAGTCTTAGTGCCAGAGAGGAGTAATAGTAGATRTACAGTGATTGTAGTGTGATAGGAGCTAGCTGGTTTTCCTACATTCAGACTTATGAGTGTACTGAGGCCAGGTTCTTGGAACATCCTGCAGCAGCCAGTAGTCTGAGATAGATTTCAAGAGAAATTAAAGTTCAAATAAAAAGTGTTTAGGGTTTTGGGCGCTAGGTTATATTTCGTTTTTTTTTCTTGTGGAGTCAATTGGTTTTGAATTGCCTCTGTTGAGGACTTTTTGAAATGATTTACCAATATTTTTTATCTAGTACAGGTATGTGCCAATTGTGTTTACAGTTTATCGTGAGTGTTCATACCAGTGCTCMTTTTCTGTTTAATAGGATGATGCCAATGGGTGGAATGATGCCTCCTGGGCCAGGAATCCCACCTCTTATGCCTGGTATGCCACCAGGTAGGTCAGGGTTGTCGAACTCGTACTATGGTGAGAGTTAAATTATATTTATTTATTTCTACTAAGATTTAAGGTTTATATAAAGATCTTACAGACTTATGCCACCACCCACCACCTTGATGTGGCTGGATTGCCACAGAAGCCACTCTTGTACAGAGGTGGTTGATTTATGGCTTCTGATTATAAAAAATTTGTGGGTTTTATTCCATTGTTAAAGTAAAAAATAGAATAGTTTCTTCTTTTTATTGCACTTTCTCACACTGTTGTGTTGCCTGCTCTCTCTCCATGCCTTTTTTAATGTCTGTGACTGCAGCTGGAGAACAGTAATAATTGAAAATGTGGAAAGTGGGGAATAATGTTGATGGTTTATCCAACTAAGGAGCCTGGTGTGTGAAGAAACTTAACTGAAATTTTGGTCTCTTACCATGTAGAAGWTGTGTTTCTTGAGCTTGTGTGGCTGTTAAGCAGCCCTAAGTTCCCTGAGTGTTCCACCTGACCAGCAGCTTGTGTGRTAATGACCTGAGATTTGCTGGTTTGCTTCATGGAACCCATGGGAGCTGTTAACTTCCTACCTGGCCCTCCCCTAGAGCTCCACACACACAAAGTGCAGGTGACACCACAATTGTGGTGACACTACAGAATGTCACTGCCCACTGTACTGATGACCGCCAAAGCTGGTGATGTTTCGGTCACAGTTCTGGTTCTGTTCGGAAATGGTTTAGAGTCTCTTTGATTTTGTAACAGTCTCATCCACACTCTTGGCAGTGCAGACACTGTGTCAGAAATGATTACTGTATTTATTGTATTGGTTTATTGGAAGCATAAACATCATTATTGACACTTTAGTAGAAAACAACTTAATCCAGCATTGCTCTGAAGTATTTGAGGTACTGCCTGTGCATGGACATTGACTGGTGCCTGCTGGCATTGCACTTTATCATGATTTGTTTTACTGTTGCCTTAAAAATACATCTTCCTAGTGAGAAATTCTGTTCTAAGGAACACTGGAGCAGAATTGTCTAAAGGAATATTTATGCTTCCTGGAGCCTGATCCGTCGCCCGTTCTTTGTGGTTTGTAGGGATGCCCCCGCCCGTTGGGCCTCGGCCTGGCATGCCTCCAATGACACAAGCACAGCCTGTTACAGCTCCAGGCATTCTTAACCGGCCTCCAGCTCCTGCTGCAACAGCACCGACCCCACAACCTCCAGTTACTAAACCACTCTTCCCAAGTGCAGGGCAGGTAAGGTATCCCAGAGCCCGGAATTTCTTGTTATGTTCTTCAAATTACCACTGTGCCAGAAGTGCCTGTTTATTATTCAGGAGGCCCAAGAAATGATGGGTTATGGTTTTTGCTTGGGTTGATGTTTAGGTTTAATTCAGTGCAGTGCTTGAATGAATTTCAAAAGATTCTTTTTTGTCTTTTAAAACAGCCATGAAAACAGACAGGAGTTGTGTAAGCACTGGGGAAGAAAGGAGTAGGCAAAASACTTCTTTATTTAACGCCTCAATTTGTAGTTTATAAGAGAGCTTTGGGTGGGTGAAGAGATGTGCTAGCTACAGGAATCTGACTGCATAGACCTCTACCTGAAATTTCCAAATGAAAAATGTTGTTACGACTTCCTCAGCTGTYCTTGTAATGGTCTCTCTGCTAATAGATGAACTGATTTATTCTGTCATCTTGTTGAACTGGTTAAACATTGCTTGAGTTAGGAGTTTTTCTTACTTCCAAAAGTTTAGAAGTAAGTTAGCGTAGTGAAAAATTCATGTCAATGTTTTGGGGAGGGAAGTGGGGAATTTRAAGTGGCTTGTGACCTCTTCTCTTTGAATGCACTTACAAGTCCTGGAGTTTTTACTTGCTTTCAAGTATGTTGCAGAAGCCTTTGTAGTGTACTATTTACATTTTGGGCTTCTGCAGGGAAGATACTTGTTTACAAAAATACAGTCCTTTCATAAGAAAGGGTTTAGTATAAAAAAATCCTTTCATCTGGATATTTTCCACCCATTTGTTTGGAGACTTTTCACTGTTTCCTTTCTTTTATGCTACAGATGGGGACACCTGTCACAAGCTCAAGTGCAGCTTCCTCCAATTCAGAAAGTCTGTCAGCATCTTCTAACGCTCTGTTTCCTAGCACAGCACAAGTACGCAGGAAGTCACAGTTTAAAACMAATTGCTTTGCAACTTAACCCTTTGGACCGTTCTGTAAAATCTAAAATTGACTAAACATCTTCAGATAATTTCTGKATATTCCTGATTATGTTTAGCTGGTAAAACTGCAGAGTTCTTGATCATGAGTTGCATCTTACCAGAAATAAGCATGTCAGAGTGCCCAATTTTTCTTAGTGTGAAAGAATGAGATRTTATATCCTGGTTCTAAAGGGTTAAAAGAGCATGAAAGCAGTTAAATGCATTTTAGTGGGCAGTGACTAGCTTGATGCATGGTGAAGGCTTTTTAGTTTATTTTGTTTAATATGGCACATCATAATGTGGCGAATCTTTAATTTGCATTATGTGCAAAATGTTAAATTTTTTTGTTTTGATTGGGAAGTTCAGWTAATTGTAAATGTGCAGTGAGTAGAAACAAAAGCATTCTCTCATAACTAAGGTGTGCTTTGGAGATTGCTGTGTCTTTACAGACAGCTTTGTAAAATAGACTATGGGGTTTTGCTAAAAGAAAAGTAGGAGAGGTAAGATGTTGGAATCTGTAGTGGACCTCGTATCTGCTTCCATTGACTTTTCATTCACAAATAAGATCAAAGTTCTGTAGACAGACATAGTACTTTGTGAAAATATTTCAATGTGTTTATAGAGGGAACGTGTAAARCCCTGACATGATAAAGCTTTCTTAAATATTTGATTAAAATATTTCTTAAATACTTAATTTTAATGAATTCTAGCACTTTAAACTKTACTCTAACCTAATGGTTGTTAAAGTATGTTAATATAGTGAAAGAACAATTAATTTATACTTAGAGGCCTCTAAAAAAACTGGTTCAGGAAAGATTTAGACCTTTACTAAAYTCAGTATTTGAGATTAATATTGGGGTGGTTTTTTTCTTTGTGTTCCTTTGTTGTGGTGGCTTTTGACCTGCGAATTTTAGACTTTCCAGTCTCTGTGTGTGTGTGTGTGTGTATATTTGTACATACTGGGGTTTATTTTGTCTTATTTTCAGTTGCTCTAGTATGCAGTAAAGCTGAACTTTATTTTGTCAAGCTTGTTATAATTGTGTATCTCACCAGAAGGTTTCAGAGGTCTAACAGACATCATTTAAGTTCTCTTATGCTTTGAGAAATAAATATTGACCTGTCTCTTGTGTTTAACAGGCTGCAGCGGCTGTGCCAGGGCCAGTTGGTACTGATTTCAAACCTTTGAATTCTACACCTGCGACAACAACGGAACCCCCCAAACCAACATTCCCTGCTTACACACAGTCTACAGCCTCAACCACTAGCACGACAAGCAGTACTGCAGCTAAACCAGCTACATCTATCACAAGTAAGCCTGCTACCCTCACAACAACCAGTGCAACCAGTAAGTTGATCCATCCAGATGAGGATATATCACTGGTAAGTTAAAATGTTTTCATTGCCTTACTGAAAAATGCAATTTGTGCTGATATGGCAGATTAAGTGGAATTTCATCTGTGCTCTGCGTTATGTGTATTTTAATAATGGTGAGAGTGCAAACCATCAGAACTAATGTAACTGAGAAAATTTCTTTGATTACAAATTAATGACTGGCACATTGCAGAGTGATCTTGCTGCAGTCTAAGCTTTAGTTTTGGTGGTGCTGGGAAATSCTCAACCCAAAGTCCAATTTGGACTTCTACTGCATGTGACTTAAACTTGAAGTATCCTAGGTCTGGGTAGTGAGCACAGAACAAAAGACTGAACAGTTTGAAGTTGTTTTGATGCTATTACAGCAGCTAGAAATACAGAATTTATGGATAAAACAAGTGAACATTAATTACAGTCCAGAGATCTTTAGATTTGTGTTCAGCCTTTTTGTCTCAGCTTAAGAGAAAAAGGCACTGTTCAGCTGGTAGAGGGGGGAATTTGTGTTCCATGCAGAATGCTCGATTAGCCTGTAATAAGGCAGTAAGTCTGCAGAAAGGGGGGAAAATCCAAATGCTACTGTGTAATGTTATTAATAGTCTTTGAATTTGTAAGGTATCTGTAGTCTACTATGTTGCATATGTATTTACTTGGCCTTGGTGAGTTTTAACAGAACGTGTTGTGGTTGTCTCTTCTGGTTTTAGGAAGAAAGAAGGGCACAGTTGCCTAAATACCAGCGCAATCTTCCTCGACCAGGACAGGCTTCCCTGGGTAATCCACCAGTTGGACCAATTGGAGGTATGATGCCACCACAGCCAGGAATTCCTCCACAACAACAAGGAATGAGACCTCCCATGCCACCTCATGGTAATCATAAGTTTYGCAGCTTTCTCTTTTTGAAAAGATTTGTGAAGTTGCCCATGCTGGCAGGGAGGGGTGAAGCTTCACAAAATGCACTTCTCAATATTTAGAAAAATTTTAAAAATATTCTTTGCGTCTTAACTGTTCTGTTTATAGGTCAGTATGGTGCTCATCACCAGGGCATGCCAGGATATCTTCCTGGAGCAATGCCTCCGTACGGTCAGGGACCTCCGATGGTACCCCCGTACCAGAGTGGACCTCCTCGCCCTCCGATGGGAATGAGACCGCCCGTAATGTCACAAGGTGGCCGCTACTGATGCTCCTACTCACGCTCTAATAGGTTTGGAGATTAAACCTTTTCTCATCTTGTGCTGTTAATATAGCCGAGCTTCCGTCAATTAAAGCTTCATTGTGACTTTAAAAAAATAAGTATCTTCCCACATGCAAGGAGCTATTGGACATTCTTATTTTACATGGGAAAAATTATTTGGAATAATAACAGGAACTTTTCCTGATGTTGCAATTTATACTGTATGGCTTCTTTTTCATGTTTCATCTAGGTTTTTAGAAGTGAAGTATAGTAAATATGGTTCGTTAAATTGTGAAGGCGCTGGAATTACATGAACATACCACCTTAAAGGCAAGTTCTGTAATGTTACGTTGCTATTTGTGAAATGATGCCTTCACAGCACTTCAAGTGCTGTTGGACTTCATGTCCCCAACATAGTTTGGTGAGGGCTGTAACTGTTCCCAACTACTTGTACATTAAAGTCTGAACTTGTAACAATATTTAATGTATTTAGAGTTCCTCCTGTTCCAGGGTTTAAGTAAACTGACCCACTAAGGTCATGTGACTTTTCTGTACTGTTATAAACTTCATTGTAATAAAAGAGGAGAAAAATTTATATGCCTTTTTATTCGTGACCAGCTGTGGACAACTGCCTGAAAGGTTTGTACAGATGCATGCCGTGGTAGCCCTTGGTGTAATGAACACAATTACTGGTGCTGTTTTGATAAAGTCTGAATTTATTGTTCTAAAAAGTCACTCCTTAGCTGTATGTCCGAGTAGACAAAGACCCGTACACTTATTAACTGACTCTTCAAAACTGAGGCTGCAGGAGGCACATCCTAACTCTTGGTTGTAACTTCTCTTAATGCATATGTTTCTTTATTTGTGCTTTCTTGTCCTCAATAAATTTTAAATGATTTCTAGTCCTGGCACTTGCTTGTAGGAYGGGAAAGTGTGCTAAGATACATCCTAATGCCAGGTGTGTCCTGTTAGTTCACTCTGCAGCTGACCCTTTTTAATGTACAAATGGAGATTAATTTTAGGAGCCTTTTAGGTGAAGATTTCTAGAAGCTTAAGTGCGTGGCACATGGGTGAGTGACTTCCAGTTGATGTATTGAAGTTGACCTGCAAAAGAGAAATAGTAGCTTAACCCTCTTAATACAYAGAAGAGGCAGAGAAGGCAAGGTAAATGTATTATATGCTGTATTTTTACTTTTAATGTTCAGAAGTCCGTGTTTCGGCAGTCTTTATAAGGTGAAGCATTTATAACCATCTGTTGTGTGCTATGATCAGATGTTGGCTGAATTTGTTTCTTGAGCCTTTCAGTGAAAATGTCTGGAGTAAGACACCTTTTTATCAATTAGAGGTCTTCACTCTATGAATTGGTCATTTATCCAGTGTGATAGAGTGTAGAGTGATAAATTCTGTTGTAATTCTCTGAATATCTGACCTTTTCTGTTCCTGTGCTGTACCTTTGATGAGAATGTAGAGGGAATCTTTTAGGAGGGGAGGGAAGTGAGAGCTTCTCTGGCCTCTTAACGGGAAAAAAGAGCGGTGAATTTTTTCATTTGCAGGTCAACTTTAAATACATGTTCCAGCCTCAAGCCTTATCTGCAGGTTAATTAAAGGGGATATCTTCTTTAGAGTAGGGTAGAAAGATCATCAGCATTTTTGTGTCATTATGTTCATAGATGTTTTAGTAGATGGTGGAGGTTTTTAATTTTTTAATTATAATACTGAGTATTATGGCTCTGTTTCTTGGACGTCTTGGTGTTTTTTATCTGCACTAAAGTACTTCATATGGCTTTATTCTGTACTGGCTCTTAAAAGTGCCAGAATACGGTACAGCTAAAATACTACATTGTCCAGCTTCTGACCTGGTCATAAAAGCACTAGAGGATCTGAATGTCTCATAAAAGCACTAGAGGATCTAGTGCAATCTAGTTACAGCTGAATGGCCTTAAACATTAAGAATTGCCAGGCACTTCTTTTCTGAAGTGTTCAGCAGTCTTAAGACCATAACTCCAAGCCTCTGTTGAGAAGCAGTTCTCTCTGATCGCTGGTATCTGCTGATCACCTGTCAGATGTGCAGTATTTGGCTTGCAAATGTGCTGAGGGGGCCTTGATGTCAGTTCTTCTGTTAGCTCTTCATCTTGCTTTATACATAAGTCTAACAGATAAAACTTGTTTTGCTCAGGCAATGCTTTTATACTGTTGTTTTTCTTCTGTTTACCTAATAAGGATRATTACAAAACACTGGAGAGATTTTTACAATGTCTTACATTTGTCCTTTTTGTAATGTTACACATAAAATTTATACGTTACAAAGTGATCTTAACTATTGCTTGTGAAACTATAGAACTTGCTTTTTCTGAAGATCATATTGCTGCTCTAAGGATGCTTTGCCCTCCTGCCCCAGTCAAGTACATTTGTTCTCCCTTTGGTGTCTTTCTGTAACTTTCCATATGTTGTTTTCAAACCCCTACTTCTCCTGGGATAAAACCTTATTGCATGTACTGTTAACTCAGCATATTCTGCAAGTTATATTAAGAGTTCTGCTCTTTTACACGGTGAATGTCTCATTCTGATAATGGTACCATTTTGTAGCTATATACTGCATAGACTTCAAGCTTGAATGCATTTTGAGATTGATCTTAGTAGTAATGGTATGAAAATGCCCCAAGTAAGTACTGTCACATATATTTCATAGGTACTCTCATATGAGCAGCTGAACAATTTTTCCATTATTTTCCTGTGGATACTTAATTTCCTGCTCCTGTCATTCCTGTGCAATCAGAGCTGTGATGTGGCTGCCTTTAGTCTTCAGTTACTCTTGTCTCTTGTGTGACTCCTCTGTAAACAGGCAGGTGTTTCAGTGCCTGTGTTGTCTGTTGGTGCCTGCCTTCATTTCTTTGGATACTGCTTCTTAATGCTCAGAGAGTTGGATTTATGGTGCATTGACCCAAAACCAGTGAAACTGCTTTGAGTGTAATAGTTGCTTGTATAAGTAAGATTTCATTTACAGTATCAAGTAAAATCAACATAGCTGTGCCAGCAATATCCSTGATGTAATGCAGCCATGAAAACCAGGTTTTGCTTTACTTAATCATTCCCTGGAAAGAGATTCAGAAGCCTTTATGATTACAGARAAGCATACTTATAGATGTTGCAGGACTCCAGTGATGCAATTGCGTAGGCAGAAGCTTTGTTTTTCAGCTGTTACCTAAATTTGCCATGGCGGATATTACGGTAAAATTAACACTTGACCAGTCTTGAAATTGCAAYGTAATGCAAATGTTGAATGCAAATAGGCTACAAGAAAATTTCAGACACAGGTGGGAAGATACATTTAACAAAAAGCATGCCAGAATTTATAGCATCTAGGACTTACTTATTCTTAATTATTTTATGCATGGTCTCACAATATCATAATAGGCAGCTAATCTTTAGGGAAAAATGGATGAGACTGGAATCAAAGAACCTTGAAAAAGTCTGGGTTCGATTTTTAGAAGTCTATATGACTCTTTTATCCTGCCATTAGAATAGCTTTCTGCCTTTGGCAAAAATTGCTTTAAATAAAATAGTGACAGGTTAGCTGGCATATGTGGACTAAAAGTTTCTTCTGAAACTTCTGGATTACCTTTTTTTTTCTTCCACAGATGAGGTTTTAGGTRCTGATAATAAATTTGAGGCTGGGCTGTATTTAATAACAATGGATAACTATTCCTCACTCTGTGCATGCATGGGAGAATATAAACAAGCTTCTAGAAACRCATTCAGCTGCATCTGCCTTCTGTGGTTTCTGCAAGTGTTTTAGTCTGTGGGGCTTTTGTGCAGTACTTACACAGAACTGGATTATTACTCTCTTAAAATGTGGATAAAATCGAATGGGATATGTAGCCTACAGTTATTTTATAGGAATGAAAATTCTGCATACAAGATAAAAAAATGAAATGCCAGGATTACTTATGAACAGCAAGAAGGGCATTATGACCTTCAGTTAAATTCAGACTCTGATGAAGAGTCCATGAGYTGGGCCACAGTTGAAAATGTAACTAATGACACTTCATAGTAAGCGTCTTAATAATTGTACTGGTCTAGTTTCTACATAAACACTAAGACAAGGGTGAACATTTTCAGTGGGTGATGGAATCTTTAACTCTACTTTTCATTAATTAGTACAACAGATACTATCAGTTACGGAAAAAATGCCCCAAGACAACTGACTGACGTTCCATTGATCAAGATACAAAGCAAAACTGTCCAATTCAGCAATAGCTACCAACTACAGAAAATACTGTTTGGGCCTAACAAAAGAGGTGCTATAGCAGTCATTTTCTTTTGTTTGCTTGATCACTGGAATTTTGTTAATTTTGAATGCATGTCTTTCACTTAATTGGGTCATGTTTTTKCTAAAATTTAAATTTTTCTTCTTCCTATAGCCCTGCCATAGGACAGGCTGAGGCAGAGTCTCAGTGTTGCCCTGTTCAGTCTGAGGCAAGTGGGATTTATTTTATTCATTCTGGGGGCTTTCACAGCTTTATGGCTGTTGGATATTTATGTCCCCAAACTTGCAGCAAGTTTGGTGAAGGCCCCTAAATTTATTTTAATTTAGGTTTTTTTATTCTCTTTTGGTAGATGGGCTCTATATTAATATTTATCTTTTTATTATCATTGTGTTTTGAAGAATCGTAGGGGGAGGGAACCTGTTTAAGATGTGTGGGTACCTTTTCTCTTAATGGAATGCATTTCCTCTGAGGCTGCTCAGGTAGTCCTTAAGCCACACTGCCCCTCCCCATCTTTCCYTGCATTGCATTTGTGCTGTATTTGTTTTCTGGTTTGGTAGTGTTGACTTTGTGTAGTCTCTGGACTAGTGGCATGTAAATACCAATTACTAATGTTTTCTCTTCTGGGGAGRTGTATCTGCTGAAGAGCTTAAAACAAGTTTTAGCCAGTAAGTTAATTGCTACAAAATTTTGTAGCCCAAATTACAGAATCCAGTTTATTTGAAGGTTAGGATGTAAATAGTGCTGTGTGTGTGAGCTGCACCTCAACAAATATTAATGTAGAGCCCTGTGAAGAAAKAGAGATCACATCCAAATTGGTAACACAGAATAGAAGAGTGAGAAATCAGAGCTGCACATTTTTCAGTTTGCCATTWTCAGGGAGGACCTTTTCCTCGGTCTCTCAAATACACCAAACACAAGAATATTTTGACAATTGCAACAATAGTAAAAGTTTAAAAACCCTTTTTTGAAACCCTGTGAAATTCTGTTGCATAGTCAAGATTTGCTTTGTTATGTTTATTTGAAGTTCCTTCTTTCACACAGTGACARAAAAATTCTACTCTTTGTGAAGAAAAAGTTGCTCACTCTTTTGGAGAGCCATTGGTCCTAAATGTTTGAGGTTGTTTAAAGACAACTTCAGTTTCAGAACAGCAGGTTTTTCCAAGGAGGTCTTGTAGCGTATCAGCAGTGAAGTAGTAAATAAACAAATGTGGGAGTCTGGTTTGCCTTTCCTTTGGTTTTTGGTTTTTTTTTGGGGGGGTGGTGTTAAAATTTTAGAGATATTTTTAAAGTTTGTGGTGGGTTTTTATGAGCACAGACTCTCTTTCCTTCTTCAAGATTCTGCTAAATAATGACCCCAGTGGGATTTCAAGTGATTTTAGTTGAAGGATAGAGTTGTAATTAACTYAGAAGAGTGGATTGCATATTCCTGTTGTACCTTCTTTGTTTGTACTCTGCCCTTTGCATTTTTCCTGTAGAAAGTCCCCCTGAAATCCCTGTCTGACTGGAAAATTGACATGTCCATGTTAACTGTTAGAAAATGGTTATTGAGCATGGTCTTGCTTTGCTAATTCTCCTTGTGGTGCTCCCTCTGACAACAGTGAAGATGAGAACAACTCTTCAAGATAGACTAYTGCAACTAGTATTTCTTTCACTTGCTTGATTTATAGGAGCATTTGCCTTACTTCTTACTTCCCTGGAATACCTAAGGAAACCATTTAACCCAGAATAATACATGGTGAGGCTTGTACTTCTTGCTTTAACTATCTGAATCTCTTAGATACTCAAAAAAATAGGCAAATTTCAAATGCCTCTTTTTTTTTTTTTGAGGACTGAAGTTTGTTCTTAGTTGCATTCCAGTATTGCAGCTCTCACTGCAGCAGTTTGTGTATCACAAAGTTTTACRTCTTGCTTACTAGTGAAATTTCTTTACTAAAGATGACAGTATTTCAGTGGCATGACTTCTATAGGTATTACTAATATGTCTTGGAGTTGTTTTAAGCTTAAGTTGAGGCATATGACATTTTTTKAAGGAGCAGGAGTTACTCTGCTAAATCGGGTAAATTTGCACCTGCTCTATTAAACAAGAGAAATAACTTGGAGATGTGGTAAATAGTGTACATACCACACATGAAGAACTTTATAAAATATCTGTATGCTTGTAATCAAAATAATCAGACCACGGAAACAGTGGTAGTGACAAGGTCCTGTAAGAATGCAGCGACCAGTGACTGCTGTTTTGCCTGTAGTAGCAGGGCTAGGTTGGAAGTAGTGTAGAGTAAAGAAGGTTTTGGGACTGGTGTTAAAGGGACCAAGATGAATCAAAGTGTTTCTAAAGTGTRATGTATATAAGGTTCTTTTTGAAATACTGAAAAACACAGTGAGAGCTTTCTGGCACACTAAGCAGCAGCTTGATGCAGTCTTGATTGTCAGAGCACAGATTCCCAGTAAGGATCTGTTAAAAGAAATGCAGTTTCACCTCAGTCTTGAGAAGGTGTGTCTGAGGGAGCTGAGCACTGCAGCCTGGTGCTTTTTCAGCCAGCCATACCCTGTCCTCAACTGCAGAATTCAGGGTGTTATCCTCGAGCCATTTGTTCCTGGTATCCTGGTGAGTCAGTCAGTGACTGTCCCTGGTATAAATAATTGTGAGGCTTGATATTTACRTATCTTGGTACTGTTGGGAATAGTGAAGCCCTTGCACCTTCAGAATAAGTTTACAATAGCCATTTAAATTCTTACGGGCTTTCTTGCTGTAGGGACAGTCAGCAACACTGCTGTTTTAATGGCAGTGAATTTAACTTCTCCATAAATACTGTCTTGAACTTATCTTAAGGTTTTTCTTTCGTTAAGATTTAAAGAAGTGAAGAAGTTTTGAGAAAATAATAAAATTTTAATGCCGATAYCATCTCGACTAAAAGCAGAGAAGCACGTAACGTTAGAGCTTGAAATCTTCCTTTTGAATTCTTGTTAGCAGTTAWAGCATATCTCTCTGATAGCCAACTGCCTTATACAAGGTTCAGGCTTCTGTCATCTCATRCTTTCTTCCCTTAATTTTTGTCTAAATCTTTGCCATATTCCCAGGTCCTATTCAGAAAGGGAGGCACGGGTTGTAGAATTTCAGCTTCTGCTTCTCTTAGTAGCCAATATTYATAACTGGTTTTTGCTAACAGCAGTTTTAATTTCCAGAAATCAATGCAGTACAACCAGAGGAAGCTATTTCATTGTCTCCCAGTTTAGGAAGTTATGTAATGCTTTGWGATAAAGATGTCATGCAGGGCTTTTTTCTCTTTTTTCATTGAGTTACTTGCACCGAATTCTTTAGCTTCTTTCTCATAAATTTAAGTGGAAAAAGATACATTTTGCTCTTTGACTTGTAAAGTCCAGAATAAGAAAACACACTTTGAGACTTTAATGAAGGAACCTGGCCATGTAAGTATTGTAATTTCCTTTATGTTTGTAGTAGGCAACAAAATGGACCTTATTAAACTTATGGGTTATGTATGAAAAATCAGAAGGGCAATTTGAAGGAAGTTTCATAGGTGCCTTCATATGCTTTTCTTAAGCAACAAATTGCAGTAATTGAAGTTTGGCAGTTATTTTTTTTAATAAAGAACTAAATTATGGGTTAAACACCTTGGTTTAATACAATTTGTGTTTCTGTTAACTAGCAGCAGAATTTCAGCATTTGCTACTTACTGGTAGAGAAGAAAAATTCCACAGAACTGCCAGTACAGGTTAGTTTAATCTGTAAGTACCTGATATTCCTATTTGAAATAATTTGTTCAAATGATACCACATAAATACATGAGGGGAATTTTGGTCTGTGAAGTGTGATTGTTATTTACTACTGATTCCAGTAGTGAATGAACAGACTAGACTTTTTTGGAAGATCTAGAATGGATTTAACTCTGCTTGTGGGCAGGTAATAAATATCTGCAAGCACCTTGAAGGAAAATTTAATACAGAATCTTGACAAGCCCTTTGATGTTACTAAAAAGTGTGAAGATCTGAAGTCAAAATCACTTTGGTAACWTGCCAGTCATAAATGAGGCTGTTTTTGTCAGCAAACCAGCAGGATCCTGTGTTTGTTGTGTTGGGGATTAAGCATTTTTATTTGTAAGAATCCATAGCAGTTTGTAATCTTTCAATTTTCTTTAGCAATTGCTAATTACCATTTCTTACCCACAGATTTTTAGGCCGGTAAGCCCGGAGCTTGTTCTTTTATGCTTTTTTAATTACTATTTTTGTTAGTTGATTTCAGCATTTCAGAAGCTCCCTACAAATGTGGTTTTCCCCAGCCATTTTATCTTACTCCAGAGTTCCTGCTCTGCCTCTATTTTAATTCTGTCCTATTCCRTATTCTCATAAATTTTGGGGTTTTATTGTATAGAATATTTTATACCTTAAAATAGAATGGATTCTTGGTGAATGGATAAAAGATGCAACTTTCTCCAGAATGACTGCATACATTGATTTCTGTTTAGACTTTGTGTAGCTCATCTCTACGTATCAGCAGAAGAGATGAAAACTTTTTCTGTGCTCTGGCACAAAGCAGAAATCCACAGCTGGATGGGCTCTAAAGCTCTGTGTTAATTTACTTTTTAAGGCCATGTTGTCCCACTCTGAATTTGAGAGGTGTTTGATATCACTGGTGGGTAATTACTTAGGCAACTGCTGGGAAGGTCATGGTAATGTGGTAGCTGAACAGACACTTTAGTTTTGCCAGCTCATCTGAAGGATCTAGAGTGTGTTTATGAGTGACTTGCCACTTCCAGCAAAACTCCATGTTTTAGGATTCTGAAATCTTYCACAGTGCTGCAGAATTCATCCTACAAATGTACAGTTTCAAGGCAATTGTATCTTCCAGGTTTTAGAACTCACAGCCCATTGCCTGCCATCTTCTCCACATCAGTTCTTTACAATTCACACTAAATTGCTTTGTCTGCAAAATGAGCTACAGGCCAATTTCTGACTAATGTTGCTTTTTGTCCTAGAAGGGAAAAAAGAGGAAAGTCATACAATAATATTATAACTTAGTTTTATCTCTGTTTGCTTAATCTTAATTGCAGGTATGCAGGAATAAAAGGGGTACCTTGTTTGAGGCCATTACCCTGTTAACAGAATGTATCCATATTTCTTAAAACTTCTGCGGTCGACCCTGGCTGATACTTAATGCACAGTACTAAGTTGGAGTGAGTAACTGATTGCTTTTGGCTGCTCAATTAGCTTATGAAGTCCTGGTTTTGACAGTGGTTGGATGGAGACCTGCACTACTTGTACACCAGCCTGGTAGTCAGTGGGGATAACTGAAGGGTAGAGTGTGTTCCATAGTGTCTTAACCAAAAAAAGTGCATTTGTCCAAGATAGATCCTCCTAGAACTCTGGTAGAACATCATCTCTTTCTGAAACTTTGAATGGCAGTTAATTATGGTAATTCTGATAGAATAAAGTTTATTTTCTTTTGAGATAGGAYCAAAAGCAGTACTGGAAATCTGAGCTTTGATTACCAGGTGAGCAGTGTTAAATTGTAGCACAACTTCTGACACACCATTAGAACATCTGTCCACTGTAATGTGGTTCAGTCGTCTTCTCTCCCAGTTCTGGTACTGTATATTTGGAACAGTTTGTCATTTCCCACTCTTTCCTTAGACTCCTTACTGACTCCCAGTTGCCCTTTCAGAGTTTCTGGTCACTGTGCAGCAAACCCAAACTGCACAAACTCTGAGTTGTTTTTAGTACCTTCACAAAGCACCTTTAACCATATGAGTGAATATGGTCCCCTCTCAGTAGCAGTATGGCCACAGAAGTTAGTGTGTTGTGAAGGGTTTTTTTTTGTAACTTTATACATCTTTTGTGTAAGTGGTATGAAAGGGCTGGGATTACTGATCTTTTTCAAAAGACAGGTGGTGGCAAAATACTGATGTTGAATTTATTTGGAGAAAGTGAGAGACTGGTAAGTATGTGCATCACTTTAATGCATGCAAATAATGGTAGCAGCAAGAAGCTTAATTTCATAGCATTCMGTTTACAAAGAAGATTCAAAGAAGATACAGAGCTGACATCATTTGCATCCACTGGGAATCTTTTATGAACTGTGCTTCTGGAATGGGTCATTGCACATATGTAATGTGTTATCATTTTGTAACAATCTGATTAAACAGAAGTGAACCACTGTTTCTGCGTTTTTTTTTCCTCTTGAAAACCTATTTAAATTACTGCAACAAATATTATGGTGTGAATAAATTGGTACCAGCTTTTTAATTGTAAGCTGCAGAGACTCATTTATATGAGCTCTAAGGTAAAGTGGAGATAAACAGGTGAATCCTAGCTAATAACCTGTAATATCCTTTTGCTCTTGATCCACTGTCCTGCTGCTGAGCAGGCTGTACAAAGCTGTTGAAGAAGTTGGAAGAGTTGGAATATGGAGGAAAAGTTTCTGTTTTCATAAAAGCTGGAGGCCTGGTCATGCTGGGAGGTCCTCTGTTCTAAACCCTCTTTGATCAAAACACTGGACAGGTGAGTTAGCTTGGAAGATAGGTGTCCTTGCACCTCCTGTGAATGGGATGGGAGTGGTTTATTGTGCTAGGCTGGTTGGTCTTGCTTAGCTACCATTAATCACTCATAGGTTAATTTCTGAGACGTGGTAAAGGGAAGATAAATGGTTATTTTAATGCTATGATGAATTGGGTGTGTGTGACSAGGAGCTGCAGTAGAGGACCCTTCMGGGAAGAGCTGCTGTGCAGAAGCTCTATGGGCATTTATCCTCTGGCGCTTCCAGCTCCAGAGAAATCTGAGGGGCATTTGGGAACTGCTGTTTACTAAGAGCTGGTTAGAGCAAGGGCAGTTGTGTATTGCCTGTCTTGTTAAAGCCTTCCCAATGGGAATATGACAGGTAGGAAGGGTGGGTCTGTACTTGCTGCCCTGTGAGCCTCAGCAGGTTGTTTTTGCAATGTGGGACTCAGAGTTCATCTGGAAATTTTGGCTTTTTCTCTAAAACATGGAGGTTTTTCTCTATGGGGTTGGTGGGGATGAAGTAAAGTGCTTGACTCTCAAMTTTTAATTTTTTAGAGGTAGAAATKAGTGTATTTGAGAAGCAAGACTTCTGTTTGTGCCTCAAAGACAAAACTCAAGCATATGCAGTGGTGTGGGCTACCGGGCAAAGCATTGCTATCAGCAGAATCAAGTTGGATGTGTACAGGCAGAAAACAAGTTACAAGGCAGACCCTCCTGGCCTAGCTGACTGTAATTTTTTATCTTGATAACTTCTTTTTCAAAAGCAAAGGCTGTGCTGCCACAGCATTGGAGCAGGCTGTGTATCTGTTGAGAAGTCAATGCTTTGCTTTTCCTGTGCTTTTCAGTAAGTTTGCCTGTTCTGTTTCTGCTCTTGGTTGAAGCCATCCCAATGCCTCACACTGGACTTAGGAAAGCTGCCTTTGCCTTGTTATCTTGTCAAACATTCCCTGTCCCAGGGCTGGGAGGCAGAGGGGGATTTCTTTGACCCTCCAGCTCTCTTGCTTCCGGCAATTGTTTCTGCTTCCTGAGGCCAGAATCGGAAGGCCTCGACTAGACAATAGTCTTTGGTTTCATCCTGTTTCTTCTGAATTCACCATGGCTTGCAATTCCTTCTACAGTTTTTGGCTGTTCCCAGATCTTGGCTGAAGTTGGAAAAATAAATCATACCTAGCTACTGTTGGAAATATATCCTCAGGTAATAAAGCTCACATAGAAATGGTAATTTTTCATAAAAGATATTTATTAGATTGAAACAAGTTATATGACAGGTTTTTTTGGCAGTTTTAGTCACACTGTCTTACAAGAAACTTARAAACAACAGGCAGCTTTATTAGAAGTTGAATRTGACATCATGGTTGTAAACAGCACYGAAAACAAAAATCCTTTSCATTTTTCAAATCATGGGTGTATGCTATAGACAAATTTGAGTTCTGTACTCTGTCGCATTCCTTGGATAATAATGCAAAATCATTTCACTACGTGCAGGAATTGTTTGAACACATAACAGTGCTTACAAGTAATGTTTTATGTCATCCATGTCTAATTGCTCACATCTCTGTACCCCACCCCAGATACAGATATGTCTAGTAAGGGAACATTTATACAGAGAAGCAGTGTAGGAGTTAGGCAGATCTCTTTTTTTATCAGTCCTGATGTTTGCAAAGTCAGCTTTAAAATTCCTTCTACACTGACAGTGGCAGTTGGGAGTTGTATTTCATACACATCAGAGTGTGAAGTATGTTACGGCCAGAGCAGTGTACATGGTGTAAAACTTTTCTGTTTCTGATAAAAGAAGAAAACCATAGTTACCCGGGACAAATTCTTGTACTGATCAAGACGACCAAGAAATCAACTTAAAATCATAATCTATGACCTGAGAAGGAAGATTGCTGTCTTTGATCTGAAATCTTGCTTTCTTGACTCCAAAACTATAAAAGGCATGGCTCAAACTACRCTTTACTAGTAGTTTCAAATTTTTTTAGTTAATTGGTCACTATTATAGTAGTTAATTCTGATTTTCTTGTTGCCTGGTGTTCAACCAGGGCAATCAATTTTTAGTTTTAAATGTGACAGTGGACACTTCCAGTGCTGTACCTTCTAAGAGCACAGTGTGTTCTGTTAATGTATTACCTACCTTATGCTCTTCCGAAGGCTGCATCATTTTCAACCTCAATATTGAAMGCAACAAGACCATTAAATGAAAAGCCTATATAAAAGGTTACATTTTCATTTCCAGCAGGCACTGATTCATGATGGAGTGGCAAGATACGGATCTCATTCACRTGACCACGTATAAATATATTTCTGTCCTTGGTCCAGCCAGAAACTCTCTTGAGATTGTCACGAATTTCGGGAATATTCCATACAGTTCCATGTAGCCACTTCATTCTCCTCTCATCTAAGGACCCCACCATCAATTTATCAATTTTAGTTTTGTGCACAATCTTAAGTAAGTCATAMCCCTTTCCCAGAAAAAAATGGGTGTAGATTCTTTTCTTTGTGGTAGAAACATCTTTCATCTTGATGTCATATAAACGTTTYAGGGTTTGAAGGGCTGAAGTTAAAATATCATCTTTGTCTGGAGTAGGCTCTTTGTCTAATGCCTCATCTGGCCAGTACAGCAAAGTTAGCAAAAAATAGGCACTTGCTGGAAAYGGTCTTTTTCCTTTCAGGAATTTTTTACTGAGCTCACGAAGAATTTGCAGTGGAAGGAGTTTGGCTGATCCTGGTGCTAAGCAGGCCARTGTGATGTGGCTCAAAATATAATTGATCAGCTCGCTGTCCTCCAGCCTGTGTGGGTTTTCTGGATAGAAACTAAGGATACTTTCTAGCTTTTCAGCTGCCCTGTTCTCTCTCTTATCTGTTAGGAATGACAGGATATTGGTGACATTTCCTCCACCACTCCTATAAATATTCATGCGTCTGATGAGCTGAGTTTCAGGACCTTTGTTGCTATCATCAATGAGTGATGCTGAGATGAAGAATTTAGCATATACCTCTGATTGTCTTTTCAGCCATTTTCTGGGGTTATAAATTTGTTCTTCGTTGGCATCATTTTCATCATCCTTGTCTTGGTTTTTATCTGTTTGGAAATAACTTACTTCTTCTGAAATCCATTCCAGAGCATTGTACAGATTCTGGCGCAAGCCTCTTAAACGGGAATGAAGAAGCGTTCCCCACGGTTTTATGTCTTCAGGAACGTAATCTGTGATGAGGTATTTCACAAGCTCAGTATATTCCCCCTCTGGACTTCTGCGGAATACAGGGAGTGTGGACAAAAATCGAAGAAGGCGACAACCTACTTCTACTTCTCCAAAATAGCCAGCATTGTTCATTGTTTCACGTTCGTTCTTTGCAGCCTGTTGTGCAGCCCTGAAGCATTCCATAGCTTTAAGAGCAATTTTTATCTTCTCAATGATGCTTTCAGGGGTGTCCTCCTCTGTCATTTTATCCACAGTGAAACTAAACCATCTCCTGTAGACTTGACCTTCTGTATCCAAAATATAAGAATCAGTTGGCAAATGAGATTTTGCAACCGTTGCCCAGTATTTTGCATCTTCAAATTTTTCATTGCTGTAATTTAGTCTGGCCAGCTGCTGGGCAAAAAAAGCATCTTTTCCAAGGAGTTCATATGCAGCTTTTAAAACAGCAATAGCTTTTTCACAGTCTTCAGCTTTACAGACATGTTCAATGAATGGGGAGAAGAGAGTATCAGTGTTGTCACCCCTGCTTCTTTTATCACGTCGAATAAACAGATGTCTGATAAACGTTATGAATTCTTTTCGTCCAAATCTGTTTTCAAAGAGTGTCTTTTCCTGAAGAAGAGTTGTTGCAAGTTGACTTTGTGGTTGATTGCCTGATAGCTGATGCAGAATTTCTTTTGCAACCAGGCAGTGTATTATCCGAATAGATGAAATGTAAGGGGTACTTTCATTTAGCTCAATGAAAAGAATTTTCGCTTGTTCACTCAAGTGATGTTTGAAATTGTATSCTCTTACATTACTGTCTGTATATGYCCCCAGCCCCAGAAAAGCCTCACAGTGTGACAGTGAAAGGTATGAATTGGGTACATAAGAGTTGAGCAAAGCCACRTAACGTATCAAGCAGGTGTCTCGAGAGGAGTGGTCAATGCCTTGCAGTATGTGCTCTACCAAGTCTGATACGTACGTTTTATTGAACTCCTCACACATCAGCACAAATGTAAGTATGAATTCTGGCTTGACATCTTTCTGCTTCAGTTTTTCAAGTTTTGTGTTGAACAGATTTTTCTCTGACTCTGTCAGCTTGTGAGTGACAGCAACTGTGTCCTGTGGAGAAGCCTTGCAAAGCCTCTCAGGGTCATTGCATCGTTTGCAGCACACGAGGATGAAGTAAGGTCTGGAGGTCTTCATTTGCCTGGTTGTGACAGCCTCCATTAACTGACTCCGTAGTTCTTCAAAGTACTCGTCATCATAATCTTCGATCAGGAGGAGGACGGGAAAACAGTGAGTGATTTCCTTTTCTTCATAATCTCTAAGTGCAAGCACATGATTGCAAACGGTTGAAGGTAGATATGAGGTCTTGATAACAGCACATCTAAAACGCTTTCTGTTTTTCCATAGAACTTGCCGTGCTATTGTGCTTCCACCACTTCCAGGGTGGTGAAATATCTTCAGTTTAGCCACAGAATAACTTTGTCCACTTCCTCGTAAAATGCCATCCAAGAGTTTGCTTGCCTCCGTGCATGCTTCGCGTTCAATGATATCCCCACAGYGTTTTTTATCAGCAAGCCACAGGTTTTCCCACGTGATTTTCCTGCCACGGTAAAAATTTTGTTCTATTTCTTGTATTTGTTTTTCAGTCCAAAGATTTGGTTTGATATCATCACATTGGTCYGCACAAAGGATTTCTAGGGAATACAGTTTCTCTTCTTCCCTCAAGGGAAGTGTACACACCCCTCCACTGGAAGCTGGCAGGTGTCTGGGTTGGGCTGTAGAAGGCAGCATTGATTGAATGGTGGCATCTACATGACTGAGCTTCATACCCACAACACTGCATTGTTCTAATGTCTCAATGCTGCAGGATTCCTGAGCTAGATTAGCCCACTTTCTGTAATTTTTTCTGGACTCTGCAATGCACATGATGTATTGCATGCCATGCATCTCTGTATAGAATTCCTGAAAAGTGTCCACAAGTGGTTTCTGCACTGGTGATAGCAACAGAAAAAGYACAATGAAAGAGCCCTCTGGCAGAACTTCCTCACAGATACAAGTAATTACTTTCTTCAGGTGTTTTTTTTTGGTTCTAATCCATGTATTTTCATCACAAGGCTTTYCATCCCCAAGGAAGTCACTGCGCCCATTGCAGAATATCCAGCTAGTCTGATCAAACAGTTTCTGAGAGAGAGAATTATCAGTCTTAATTTCTTTGTAAAAATCCTGTAAAAAATAAGAACTTGTTTCATGGTGCTCTTTGTACTTGCGGTACAGCCCYGACACATTAGAATGTTCATCAAAGTCAAAGACACAGAAGATATTCAAGTGCATTAAAAAATTGATATAGTTCAGATTATCCTGTTCACATCTGTTTGTGACAAGGATGTACCGTAGGGAATCATCCATGTAGCTTTTGCCATTATTTAATAGAATTGATAACTTTCTTCCTAAATCTTGAGGTATTTCTGTGGCTACTTGTGTGCTGGAGAGCTCARCTCTTTCTCTTTGATCATCCCTGTCTTGCATAGCCTGAATGAAAGCAGTGAGTTTGTTGCGCAGCACAGGTTCAGACTTTGCTCCTAATCTCTGGTAGAGAGTTGGTTCTTTGGTCAGGATCACTTTCCCACTGTTTTCRTTGTATTTTGGCAAATAAACTTCAAAACAATTCTTCTTTACTAAGCTGAATAGTGGTTCAATGTCAACCTCCACTACAAATCTTTGTTCCTGAGAGTCTTTTGAAATCACTTCAACAAACACAGGTGGRTGAATACATTTCCTTGCAATTTCTTGTAAATTATTGCAAAAGCATTTTTCTATATAATCTAGTGCATCAACAAAGTCTTCCCTGTTTTTGACCTTTATGCCATTGATCTGTCCATGTATCCAGCCCTTGTCCTCAACACTGTCCATGACACCAAAATGGATGGTACCATTTGTTCGAATGTTCATGCAGGCTGAAGCAAACCGTATCACTTCAGAGGCAAATTTTGATTGCAGTTGATCTTTGTTCAGTTCTGCAGCAGTGTCCAAAGATTTGTATTCATGGCAGGGAGTGATTAAATCACTGASTCCAGTTTCTGGAGCAAGAACTGTGTCTTTCACGTACTTGAAATCAGTATCCTGACTTCTAAATGGCCGACAGTTTCTGACATCTAAAACTTCATCAGCATTTTGAAGCTGGGATTTCTTGCCTCTTCTTTGCCTCTTGCCAGAAGTAGGAGCTGTGTTCTCACTGCTGGTTGTACCTGCAGCACCAGAGCTGCCTCCACTCGCTGTGTCCTGAGTGGGGGCATTGCTGGCTCTGGCTGTGCCTGTTTGTGCATCGGTTCTTTCGGGTGTTTCRCTGCTGCGGTCCTTGGCTTGCTGTGCCTTGTCCTGGAGCTGCAGAAGTTCATTTCTCTTGTGGATTAAGATCTGGATTTGGCCTTCCTTCATTCCCATCTTTTTGAGGAAAGTCTCATCCAGTTCCTTTAGTGCTGGACCTGTCACTTCTTCTGCATATAGTTTTTCTGTATACTTCTTCTTGATTCCAGTAGATTCCAGCCAACATTTGACATGGCTCTCATCCCATTCATTCACAGGTAATGTTTTGTAATCTAGAAATTAGAATTACATATTAGCAATACAAACTAATGTTTGTTTGGGCTCACTGAATGTTAGATTATTTTCTTTCCACCAGTCAAGCAGGTCTTAACTTCTCAAATATGTCAGTTCTGATGATAAAGTATCCTTAACCTTAATCAGAAACAGTTCTAAGCAATKGTGCAAGACTAATGAATCAGCAAAGCAGGAAAACTAGGAGGGAGATTTGGAAATGATCCCCAAAGGGAGTACTGGAAATAACCCAAAATGTTTTTTGCAGGGAATGATGCAGTAGGGTTTATGGGAATTGACAGGGCTGGATTCCTGCAACTGAAGAGGTATGGGCAGATATTTACGCACTTAAGTCTGATTCTTTTCTACTAAATGAGGATAGCACCAATACAAACCTTAAGATGATAGGAGTACTGGTTAGTTCCCTGCTAGAGATGAATTCTTAAAATGCAGATATTAAAAAAMAAATTGCTGCACATAAAATAGGATTTTTCTGAAAGCAATACATACCCATTGTCTTTGGTAAAGGAAATCCTTGCTGTTAATGAACAAAACCCTAGAGGGGGAAAAAATAACTTCAGATTTACAGTTAACATTCCTGCATTAGTTCAAGTTGACTTTGGTGGTTGTTTTCCCAACTTCCTCCCCACCTTTTTAGTCCAAGGTAATTTCTGTACCTCTAAAAGCCTGGCATTGCCAGCTACACGGCGTCTTTGTGTGTGTGTGTGTGTGTGTGTGAAGGCAGTGGCTGTAGCTTTGGTGTGAGTAGTTACGGGACTGCCCTGATGTGCTGTATGTGTAAGGGATCCCTCAGAGTAAGTGTAAACATACTGATTGTGAAAATGGGAAACTGATTTGCATTGACTGTTAGTGCAGCCTTCCCCGAGAAAGGGGAGCTAAAAATGTCCCTATGATACCTATGATCTTTCAGTGCCTTTGGCCACCTCCCAGGGCTGGGCTTGGCCAGTGGGTCGGCTTGTGGTGRATCCCTCCCGCGCCTGTGTCTCTGTCCCACCCTGCTGTGCCCGCTGACGTCAGGAAGCGTTTCCGAGCGAGCAGCCTTGCCCGGGAATCGAAACTGAAACAGAGGCGGGAGCAGAGCGGGGGAAGGGCGGCTGAGGGGCCCGCGGGTCCCTGATCCCTGCTGGTTTTAGGAGCAGTCGGGAATGGCAGCGGGTTTGTGCTCCGGTGGGCTCGGGGTGCTCTGGGCTGCAGGGGTGGGTAGGGAGGGGGTGCAAAGCTGTCTGTGCCCCACTCCCACCTGTCTGAGCTGCTCACAGTCCCATTTAGTGCTGCCAAGCAGCTCCTATCCCAGCGGGGTGGCAGTGCAGGGACATCCTCACTTTCCGTTAAATCCTCTCCCAGCCAGGTACCCCGCCAGGCTGACAATGACCCCACGGCCCCAGCACACGGAGCGCTTACCTTGCGCRGCCCGCGGGTCACCGGCTGTCCCCAGCGCTGTCCTGCCTGCAGGGAACGGGTTCCACAGGAGGGAAGGTGCTCCAGCACCTGTGGTGCCAGGCTCTGCACGGGCAGCAGTCTGAGCACTGTGGGTGTCCTGCAAGTCTCTTCAAAATTCTACCGGAAATTAAAAAAAAAAGGGGGAAACGGCTTTTCAGAAATATTTCTGATGAGCCATCAAGTCTCCACCCACTTCGCAGCAGGGCTTCTGGGTGGTGCTGATTTTACAATCCAGCAGCCTCAGCCCCACCAAAATCAGCTAAGTGTCAGGATAGGGTGTGGCAGATGTATGTATCTATGGCTACTTTTTTTTTATTTAAAACTTTCAGATCCACCTCATTCCTCTCTGTATCAGCTACCTCCTCACTCCAGGCCCCTCGCCCAGTAGTGGAGAGGTTGGCAGGGTCACAGAGAGAGGTTCCTCAGTCCCCTGTGCTACTGGGCTCCCCCAGGCCGTGCTGCACACAGAACTGTCTGAGTGGCTTTCTGTTTCCTGTGAWGCACGTGATCCAAAACTATTTATTTATGGCTGTTTCTTTATTGTACACCAGTACAAATTCCAGCCATTTTAGCTCACCTGCCTTGATGCCTGGGGATTGTCAGCATAACAAATGAGGCTCCTGGACCTTCAAGGAGGCTCAGTGCTTTTCTAACCCAAACAGCACTGTGAGCAGGCAGGCAGTGGTTTGAGCAGGCTCAAAAGCCAGGCTTATGTCCCTTCCTAAGGAAGATAGGACAGGGCTGYTGCAGGCCTTGGCCCCTTCCCTGCCAGCTCTGCCAGCACCAGGCCTGCTGAGTTCCCGGGCACACATTGTTGCTACAAGTTGTGGGGTTTTAGTCTGAGTACRAGTTTTTATTTAGTAGATTTATAAAAGACCTTTACATGAGAAGTACAAAAATATGAAATAGGCTTTGACTCTTCTTAGGTAAAACTACCATTATTTTTTCAAGCTTTAGAAACATGTAACCTGCACAGTTTGACATCTTAGGTAAATTGCTCTCACACATTGTAAAAGTAGGAAAAAACATCCTGTAAAGTAGCTCCAGAAAAGTAGCTGTATGTACCCCTCATACATATTACTGGCAATAATTTATTTAAGACACAATGGCACAGTCATACAAATTCCCACTTTGTAATTTCTCCTTTAATTAATTCCATTGAAAGATGCAGTATCACTTTCTTCTTCCAGTTGTTATCAGCTGATTAAATATAAATACAAAACTGATTAAGACTGATTTGGCATGCTTCATACTTGTACCACTTGGATTTGATACCACTTTGTAGTAAAAATTAAATAAATATAAATACATTAAATAAATATATTGTAAAAGAACACCCCAGTTACATTAGAATTCAGCATTTCTTCATCCTAGCACACATGATGCTCTGTCATAGCATCAGGKCCAATGTAAAGAAATACTGCATCTTTAACCACACAGGCTCCTGTGGATTGAATTACCAGCCCACACACACAGAAAAYGGGGTTCTACAGCTCTGTGGCACCCCTTAAACACTGCCCTGATTTCACTGCTCTGAACAGCTCTTGGTTCCTGTTGAGCTTTTTTTTTCCAGGGCTCGTCTCAGCCCTGGTTCTGTGGCTGGTGGCCTTTTCTCACCCYGTGAGGGACAATTGCAGTCACAGGYAGCTCCCAGCTGCCACTGGTGTTTGCTGCAGGTACTTGGCAGATCTGTTCTCATACCGTGAGTTAAGCTGAGGTCTGTTCTAGTTCTTCTCTAAATACTGGTTGATATTAAACAAGGCTTATTTTCACAGTAGGTAAACCTTGAATTGATTTTTCAAGTCAGTATTTTTCAAAATGTCATTGTTTCTGCTCAAGTATGAGGGACTAATTTTCCAGGGTAGTACTGATTAAACAGAAAGGGTATTTTCATACCATTTTTTGGATAACCATAAAYGATTCCCTTTACAATCACTGTGGTGTGTCTAATGCCTAATGTGGCAGTAGTGCAATGGCAGGTTCAGATTATTTGCTACAACCAAAGGGCTCCTTTTGCACATTTCAGTCCCAAGTAATTATATGATTTCAATCACTGAATTTGAATTTCTTTTTTTGGTAGTAAAACACATCTGTTACAAAATCACATACAGTACAGGGATAYTGGGGGATGGTTAKAGCCAGCTTTTGCTCTTCATTTCCACAGTCTTGAAAACTGCCTTGGAGTCAGTAACTCCATCCCCAAGGTTCATCACTTTACCACTCGCGCCCTGGGCTCTGCAATCTCCTGCTTCAGCACAGGCAGAGGTACAAGGCACTTTTTGGAGGCTTGGTTTCTTCAAAGAGAGAGAATTCAGCTCTTTGATCCCACTTTTCCCTGATAAGGGAAGGCCTGTGCTTGGAATGTTGGTCCCRGAGAAGAAAGCTCCATCCCTCTCCTCTCAAACAGTGTCTCCTGTAAGGCTCAGCTCTGCAGAGTCCTCAGTATAGTAATGCTGAAAGAGTCTTTCTTGGCAGCAGATGTGCATGGCATGGTAGGTGTGCAGGAGGAGGCGAGGGAAACGAGCTGTGAAGTAACACACAAAATCATCTGGGATGGAGCCCAGGGTCTCCTGCACTTCAGGAGGCAGTTCCCTGTAATGGTGCTTCTGTGGAAGAAAACAGAAGGAAAAGTTACTGGATACAGTAACATCCTACTGGTCCCTTTTGAAGGAGCTCAGTACTAAACCAGGGTGCGACACAGGCTGACAACAACAGGCGGAGGCAGGAGCCCAGAGTGCACCAGGAAAGAGTCCTTTACCTTATTTCTCATTGCCCTCAGGAGGTCCCGGACGGAGCCGCCTTTATAGGATCTGAATTTTCGAAGATCTGCAAGAGAAACAAATTATTTTAATGTTGTGATGCAGTTTCAGGTGCTGGGGTGTGTGTCCACAGCCACAGATCCTTGTAGGTGTGTTTCAGTACAGAAATGCCTACTTGAATTTAAATAAACACTTTACTGGCCAGCAACAGTGATGTGCCAAAACTGAGACAGTGTTATCCGTACTTTCCTGTCCCAGCAAACTGCAACAGCTGGTAATTCCCACTCTGATAAAATGCTGTCCATTACCTGTCTGAAGAGGAACTGTGATGTGCTCTCTCCAGTCCATTTTCACCACKTCTCTTCCACCTCTTTCTAATTGCTTGACTATTGGACCATCTAAAGATTCTTTCTCTATCCGGTCACTAACATCCTGGAAGAGACGTTCAGATTATTTCTAGTTTTATTTCCAAGTTTTTCACAATATTTTCAAATTGCTGCTTCTGACCAATTACAGCCTGTCCTGGTAATAAAATTAGAATTCTACTTCACTCCATGACAGTGCTTGGGAATAGGATACAGAAGTTCTGAGATGATTTTTATCACCCTCCGCCAAAGCCTTTACAGCACAGAGGARAAGGTAAGGCTGGAAATGATCTCAAGTCCTCAGACAGTTCCCACCCCACATGAATATTCAGTGCATGTTCACTGCTGTTCTTGAAAACCCTCCTGGCCCCTCTGTGGGTACCACAGTACCCTCTGTGGGTACTGCAGCTGCTAGAGGAGGCCTTCCTGCCACCAAGTGACAATAACATCAGTTCTGGTCCCCTGGAAAAGATCTGCTGTAAGACTGAGCTAATTGCTCGGGAGCTTCACCCAGGTCTTACAGCTGAGTGCCTCACTCCTCACAGTGAGGTGTGGATTCTATGACCTCAAACAGGAACAAGAAAGAGACTGAATTCATGACCTGAAGAAAGTCAGGAGCCCCGAGAACTGAGAGAAAAGGTCATTACAAACCTGAAAGAACTGGAGCTGTTTTTCTAGACTCCAAAAGAAGGGATGTTTGAGCACACAGCTGGCAGAYGGCCGTTTCTGGGGGTCCATGTTTATCATCTGTTCTATTAAATCACGAGCAACTATGTCTTCTGCAAGGAAGAGGGTGCAGGGAAATTTACTTCTTTTATTTTGTCAACATTGTTTGGCTACAGAGAAATGCAAAATTTTGTGATTTTATAATATTCTGTATAATATTCATCATGGTCTCTACTTCCTCCTGTCCTRCTAATTCAAGTGCTGCCCTCACAGATGTGCTGGGCAACCAACAAAAGGAATATCAAAGGTATTCCTAATATCAAAGTATCATCTCCCTCCCATCATTTAAATACAGGAAATAAGTTCACAGTCAAGCTTGCAGGGCTCCAAACTGTGTATTCCAGGGATGCTCTGGAGTACARATGCTGAGAATTTCAGGCCCCTTATTTCAGGAGGGCTTGAGCAGTACAACTTTCAGTTCTGCCAGGCTGGGAATCACTGTGGGCCACAGCTGTGTCATTTCTGKTGGTGTTTAAAACCCTGGGCTGCTCATTGATCCTTGCAGGGCAGTCCTTACCATGCCTCCCTGCATCCAGAGCCTCCAGGCTGTATGCTCCCAGCAGGATGTTGGCCTGYCGCTGCAGGGACTTGCCAAAGGGGTGGCCACCTTCAGACACCACATAATAGAAGACACAGCCAGCTGAGAAGATGTCCACGGTGTACGTCTGCAAAGAAACAGCCTTCAATAGCAGCAACACCTTTTMCCCCAAAGGCTCTGATTGTCATGGGGTGGGTTTTTTGCTTCTGAGAGCAGAAGGATATTTCCAGAATCACACACTGAGCTGTAAGGCAGCCTGGAGGTCCAGGCACCAAGTGCTGCCTATTGTAGGGCCTGGCCTGCCCTCTGGCAGCCAGGGAAGGGCGAGGACTTACGGGGTTCTCTTTGCAGTCTTCACTCAGCATCTCGGGGGCGATCCAGCCTTCMGTGCCCGGCACGCCCGAGCGGCGGCTGAAGCTGTGCCTGCCCACTGCCAGCTTCTTGCACAGCCCGAAGTCTGAAATCATGGCTTTGACTTTCCCGTGAGCRTTGGGCATCGAGATGAGGATGTTGTGGGGCTTCAGGTCCCTGTGGACTGTTACAAACACCCACTTATCCACTCAGACTCTTTGTGAATTTTTAAATGAACCTTTCACAAGGCCGAACCACCATTCATTAAATCAAAGTCATAACTTGAAATTATTGTCTTTGGTAAAGGCTCATGTTTTTGTTCCATCCTGTTTTATATGACTGCTCTCTAAAAACTTCAGCACCCTGCACCAACAGTAAGGACCTGCTTTAGCACTCGAGGGCTGCAGAATGT